AATTATAATATATAAATTATATATACACAGGGTCTCACTGTGTAGCCTGGGCTAGCCTGGGATGCTTTCAAATTCAATAGAGATAAGGGTGTCTCTGCCTCCTGAGGGCTAGGATGCAAGGCCTCTGCCTCCGCACTCTGATTAACACTATTAACACAACCATGAACACCTTGGGTAAGTAACCATGGTTACCAGGCAGAGTAAGGCTTTCTGAGATAGGCAATCAGCAGCTGGACTGTTTCTCCTCAGTTTCACTCACAATGGGCCTTTCGGTGCTTCAAACTCTAGCTCTTTCTGCACATCAGAGAAATGCCTTCTTCACATCTGTTTCCCTTTCAGAGCCCTATCAAACTAAACCACAACTCAAATAGTCTCCTTCCCCCATTTGATAAAATCCCTCTGGGATCTGACCTTGTCCCTCCCCCACATCTGAGCAAAAGGATGGCAACCTTCTCAGGGTGCCAGGGGAGCCTAGGATGTCAGCCCCCTGCTGAATCTGTGCTCCTGTGACTCAACGCATCTCCACCATGTGCTTTTCCAAGCTGGGAAGGGGCTCTGTGTCCCAGTGTTGAGCACCACGTTGTCCCACACGGGGTGGGGGTGGGGTGGATGAACTAGAACTAGAGAAGAAAGAACCAACCAGGAGGACAAGGGCACCACAGGAGAGATGGGTTTGGGGCCACTGAGAAAGCCTTGGGGATTCTGCCGACCTCTGAGAGTGCAGAAGAAACCAGTGACCTGCAAAGATTTCCCTGGAAATCAGTTTGTGGATGTTGTCACTATGGATCATAGGATTCTCAAGTGAGGTAGAGAAGTAGCACCGTTTCCAGGACCTTTGTCAATGCGGATCCAGGCATACGTGTACAAAACTGACAGACAGGATTGCAGTAAGAAGAGCATTCAACAGGAAACGGAGGTACGCTGGGAATCAGATGGGTATCCAAGAGCGCTGTGCTGAGCTCAGGCAGCACGGAAAGGAGACCTTCTTGGCCTCGGGCCCTGGAGGAAGCCAGACATGATGCTCCTGCCCCTCTGGACTCCTAGAGCCAGGCGTTCAGTAATCCAAGTTGCCAGCTGCCGCTCCCCAGCTGTCCTCGGCAGAGGAAAGACCCCTGTACAGGAACATGTGTCTGTGCGATTGACTGGAAGGCACCGCCTGGAGCGGTTTCCCTGGGGTGTTCAAGGCATATCTGGGTCTGATGAAAGCAGTCTTGCCTCTATACGAATGGACACACACATACACAAGAAATTCCAAGCCATATTCTTACGAAGTAAAAAAAGCAACCAATAATGACCCAGAACTGCAAAATGAGACCATGACTGAATTTTGACTTTACAGTGAACAACTCTGGAGGCACTATGCTCTTACAACATGTTTGGTACTGGCCCTACATACAACCCATTGTGAACTGCCAGGAAGGGGCTGGGTTACTACTGGGCAGGCAGTGTATGCAGTGTGGATATGATGGACCGCGAGTGGTACGCAGCCAAAACTGGAGGGATCTGGATGGCCTGAGATTTTTATCACTGAACTCAAAATGGCATGCAGTTTTAAACTTACAAGTCAATTTCTAGAGTTTTGCCTTTGAAGTTTTGGATGGTGGTTGACTAAAATACCCTTCATTAAAATTGTACATCAGGGAGACTGCTGTATTCTTAACAAATTTTGGGGCACTTTGCTGATGTAGGGAGCTGGTCTGATGACACAGAGAGTTGGTCTGTTGATGGAGAGGGCAGGTCTGATGATGTGGAGAGCTGGTCTGTGGATTTCCAGAGGGTTAGGGTCCAAGACTACCATGTCATGGACCATGGCAGCAGTTTCTCTGCTGACACAGGAAGTTGGGCAGGTAAGCTCTGCTACTGAGGATGCTCACTGATAGGTCTCAGCATACTTCTGGAGTCATTGGCTGACACAGGAAGTTGGGCAGGTAAGCTCTGCTACTGCTGATGCTCAGCAACAATCTCAGCATCCTTCTGGTGTCATTGGCACTGTTTCCTCTGTCACCTGAAGTACCTTTCCTTACCTTTCATGACACCACATGCTGGGTTTCTCCTGTACTAGCTTGCTGCTCTTTACAGCTCTTTCCCTGGGTTCTCTTCTCAGTCTTCAAGCCCAGGATTTAGCCTTATAAGCTAACTTCCCAGTTGATTTACCTGTACTCATAGTTTCAGTAACACCCATGCTACAGAATTTTAGTTATTGAAAAGGGTGAGTTATTATACCCCAGGTAAGTCACTGTAAGACACTGAAATAAGCAAAAGATACCTTTCATATATGAGTTCACTTTTGGAAATCCAAACGGTGAGAGCCAAGTCCCACTGCCTTAGTTACTTTTCTATAGAGGTGACAAAACTCCGCCACCAAGGTTACTTATAAAAGAAAGCATTGAATTTGGAGGCTTGCTGTTCCAGAGGGTTAGGGTCCAAGACCATCATGTCATAGACCATGGCAGCAGGTGGGCAGCATGGTGCTGGGAGCAGTAACTGGGAGCTTACAGCTGATCCACAGATGGGGCACAGAAGGAATGAGGGGAAAGAGAGGAGAGAAAGACACTTGGCCTGGCATGGGCTTTTAAAACCTCAAAGTGTGCCAGCAGTTGACATACATCCTCCAACAAGGCTGCACCTTCTAATCCTTCTCAGACACTGCGAACTGGTGACTAAACATTCAAATATATGTCTGTGAGTGCATTCTGACTCAAACCACCACAGGCATTATGTCTATGTTTACATGTATGCATATATTTCAGCAGATGATCACACGTTCATGTGTGCATGCCAGGGGAGGCAGAGACATGGTTCCGTGGGGCTGCCTTCAGCATCCAATGAGTTACCTGAAAGGCAGGTCCTAGGAGCTCCCCTGCAGAAGGCATTTCAGTGAGCAAGCATATGATGAAGAGCTGGAATTTACTTAAGACACTTCTAACATGGACCTTAAGCATCAGGGTTAAGAGAAAGAGAGGCACTTAGAGAATGAGACATATTCGAGTGTAGGTATGGGCTTCCCCAGGGAGCCCCAGCTTCACTCTCTACAGTGAGCTCATACACATGATCCCACGGCTTTCTAAGTTACGGTATTTCAAAGGTGTAATTTACAACATAATTTAATGATTAAGAAAAGCCTAAAATTTAAATAAAATCTAAAAATTAAGTAAAGATATATATGTAAGCTTACTTATTTCTTACATCAAGAATTTCTGGGGGAGTTGAAATTTTAAGGTAGTTTTTATGTTGTTTAAGGTGGTTCTGTGTGTGTAGACTTAGGGATGGGTGAGGAGATCTCATACGGTAAACTTCTGGCCCTAAGCTCTTGTTGTCGTTAACACCCTTGTTTGAAGTCGCTTTGGTAAAACATGCCTGTTCTCTGCAGGAAAAAGTCCCTGTTTCCTCTTAATTTTCTTTGTATTGGGCCTCATGCAGATGTGGAACACAATCGGTAGGACTGCTAACACGGGCTGGCAGGAAGGGAGACTGGGGAGGAGGGTGGCAGTGGGCACGAGATGAAGAAGCAAGAGGAGATGCCAACGTCTGTCCGTATTTTCCTAACATGGCACAAGCTGGTCACTAACATGTAATAGGGGCCACTTGAAGGTAGAACTCACGTCAACTTTCTTCACACTGTTGAACAAACACCTTAGCGTTGTTAAGATAGTGTGTATGTGGGGATGGAGGCCCCCTCGGTGGTTAAGAACACTGACAGCTCTCACTGTCAGAGGACTCAAGCTCGGTTCCTCATTGGGTTGTTCAGAATCATCTGGTCCTCTTCTGGCCTCTTCAGTCACTAGCTCATGTGTCATATGTTCACATGTGCGTGCATTCACACACACCTAAATTGAGAAATAGCACATACGAATGCTCAGGAGAAGCGACTAGCCTGTTATAATGTCAGCACAAACCCGATAAATAAGTCCACCTTCCCCTTCCTACTGAGACCCTTACGGTTCATTGGACCCTAAGATGAAATTACTGTACAGATTTTCTTTCTTTTGCGGTCTAATTTTAGTTATGAAAACAACATCTGGTTGAGATATTCTGCTTTGCCACATTTCAAATCACCCTGGTGTCCTTTTAGCAGGTGACACCAACTGGGATTCCTATGCTACCACCATGAAGACAGCATTCACACCTAAAGCAGGAGCAGTGGCCAATTTAATACGGTAGGTGTCAGCTTGTGTCGCATCCACAGACCCTTTGCAGCTTGACTTTGTTGTCTTTTATTAATCAGAATCCAAAATGAGTAGAAATAGCAACTGGAGACACAGGTAGAGTAGGGCCTACCATCCACTCTGCGGTCATCTGCTTATCTTGAGAACCCACCTTTCAAAATTCAGCCAGACTTTTTTTTAAGAAAGCCAGAAAAATCCCCCACTTGTTCTTCCCAATGTCGCTGAACACTGTGGGTTAATATAGACCCGTGTTGACAGACATTAGAAATGACTCGAGCACCTCCCATAGACTACAGCAGGCAGGCAATGTGGTGGCTGCTCAGTGCATTGATGAGTGCATGGGAGGACATTTGTCACCGCTGTCCTGGAGGCTCATACAGCTGTCCTCTGCCTCCACTCTCCCAGTTACTGCAGTGTTGGCTTGCAAAGCTTCTCCTCTAGATGCATGTGAGCTGAGAGCTGTGGGTGTTTTTGACCACTTCTGAGTTCAATGGTGTGTGTGCATATGTGCATGCATGTGCGTGCATGTGTGCATGTTTGTGTGTGCGTGTGCATGTTACTTTTCTGTAGCCATGATGGAAGTAAGAGCTTAGTTAGGCATATGGTTCCCGAATGTTAAGGAGGTGAGAGCAGGCAGCGGGAGCAGGAAGCTGAGAGAGCATGTCTTCACCGCGAACCAGATAGAGAGCAGTCTGCAAGTGGCTAAGCAATGAGCCCACCTTCCCACCGAAATGCACTTCCTCCAGCAAGCATGCGCCACCTAAGGGTTCCATAACCTGCCCAAACAGTGCCACCGAGTGCTGAAATACCCTGAAATACCCGAGCTTATGGAAGACATTTCTCATTTAAACCACCACGTTGACTGAGCGGGAGGGGGGCAGTCCTGTCTTTCACTGCATGACCCCTCGATGGGTCTCCATGGCCTGTGCTCACTCTGGGAACTGATTCTATGAACAAGAATCAGCCCTTTAGAGTTGATCCTGGGAAGTCAGGTGGATTATGAGCAAACTTCTGGCTTGCACTTCTTATCTCTGCCGCCCAGGAAGGCATCACACTACTCATGCCTCGGTTTACCTGTCTGTACAAAGGGTACGATGATCCTTGCCCAGCGATGGAGGGAGTTCTTGAGCCACTCACAGAGCAGTTAGTTCAAAGACGTTAGTAATTATCATTTATAGACAAACAAAATGATTGGTAGACCTGCATCAGCACAAGGCTGCAGGACTCCTAAGGTCTGAGCTGCCGGATGTCCCACTTAGCTGGGGAAGTCATTGCTGTCCTCTCCTGAGGAGTATGCCAGGTCCACGGGCTCTGACGGTTGTCTAAAGAGAGAGCGTTTGGAATGAAAGCCAAAACCAGAGGCATCCGGTGATTTTTCAAATTCACATATTTTTAAAGTTTTCATAGCTGCAAAGGATGATACTTCCAGCCCGATCGAAACATTGATATTTCAAAATAAACTTTTAACCATCCTCAGTGGGTACTTCAAATGCCTTAGCACACTAATATTAACTGGGGCTATCTAAATAGCTCAGGTTACTCTCAAATCCACCCCCCTTTCTTTACCTCTCAAGGGCTGTCTTTTTCCTTATTAAGTGCTCTACTTTTCCACAGATGCTCCTCCTGTTGTGACATGTTTATTTCTCTCTTATTGTTTCCCTTCTTCCTTCCCTCCCCACAACCCTTTCCATGTAACGTCCCCCTTTGCTCTCTCTCAAATTCATGGCCCCTATTTATTGTTTCATATATATATATGTGTGTGTACACATATATATATTTCTAAATATATAACTACAACCTGCTTAGTCCATATAATATTGCTTGTATGGACATGATTTCATGCTTGACCACGTGACGTTGGGTAACCAACTGGTGTGCGCCTCCCTGGAGAAGACTATTTCTCCTGTTCTCAGAGTTCTGTAGCTGTCTGTAGCCCTTTGTCTAGGGTTGAGGCCCTGTCGGGTTTCTCGTCCACGTTGGCATATCTATTGGTGTCATCCTTGTTCCGGTCTTGTTTAGGCAGCCATGTTGGTGAGATTTCACAGCTGTAGCTTCGCTGATGTTTTTAGGAGATGCAGACTCACAGCGAACGTACCATTCCTCTGGCTCTTCCAATCATTCCATTCCCTCTTCCACAGTTACCTCTGAGCCTCAGGTGCAGGGGTTGCAGTGAGGACGTGTCAGCTGGGGCAATTACCCCCGAGCCTTAAGTGCAGGGGTTGCATTGCAGATGCATCAGCTGAGACAGTTATCCCTGACTGAGCCTTAGGTGCAGGGGTTGCATTGCAGATGGGTCAGCTGGGACGGTTATCCCTGAGCCTCAGGTGCAGGGGTTGCATTGCAGATGGGTCAGCTGGGATGGTTATCCCTGAGCCTCATGTGCAGGGGTTGCGGTGAAGATGCCTCAGGTGGGGCGGGGCACCAGACAGCTACTTGCTCTTTGCATTTTGGTAGGCTATAATTTTATGTAATGGTTTCTGTCCATTGCAAATGTTTTCTCTCGTGAGAAGTGAGACATATACTTGTATATGAAGATTTGGAGTTAGGAACCACCGAAAGAGAGAGAGAGAAACAGGCAATGTTTGTCTTTTGGGGTTGGAGTCACCTCACCCAATACAATCTTTTCTAGTTCCACCCATTTACCTGCAAAGTTCATGATCTCATTTCTCTTCTGCTGAATAGTATTCCACAGTGTATATATACCACATTTTCTTCTATCCATTCTCCAGCGGAAGGACATTTAGGTTGTGGAAGCAATTTATTGATCACCCTATTATACTTCTGTGTAACTGAGTATATTAATTGGAAATGTTTTAAACATTATCTATGACCTAAATATTTGAGTTACCACAGTTATTTTAAGCACATAATTGCTCAAAGCAATACATATGAAGCTTATAATAAATATATTATTTATAAGACAATTTATATATTATATATGAAGTTAATAATTAATAAATTAAAAGTACTTTTAGAGAACTGTGTGCTGAGATAACTGCACTTATGCATCCAGCCTCCCGTGTCGTTTTTAGAATGATAGGGCACCTGGCGTCCGCGTCTTTCCACTTTGGGTTTTTTCCAACGTACAGATGCTAGTGCCCAGGAAAATGGCCCGTCTATAAATGAACAGATTGTGTGTGTGTGTGTGTGTGTGTGTGTGAGAGAGAGAGAGAGAGAGAGAGAGAGAGAGAGAGAGAGAGAGGAGAGAGAGAGAGAGAGAGAGGAGAGAGTGCCAGAGTGTCATCTAGATGCCTGAAGTCCCAAGGAGACTGTTACTGACTGATCTGTTGATGGCTTGGCGGGGAACCCCTCCCATTTTATTGAAAGCCAATGACATGGCCTCTCATCCATTCACTGAGATAGCCCTGTTGTCAACGTCTGGGAAACAAACAGTTCCCCCGAATCAAAGAGCAACTGAATTATGCCTATTCTTCTACTCTGATGTAACTTTAAAAATGTTATCTAATGCAAGACGGACTTGGAAAACAGAAGCAGGAGTTTTGACAAATGTGTTTGGGTAGATTTAATTTTTTTAATTCATTTTTTATTTTATGTGTATGGATGTTTTGCCTGTGTTTATGTCTGTGCCCCATGTGCTTGCCTGATGCTTGAGGAGGCCAGAAGGGGGCTCTGGAGCCCCCAGAACTGGAGTTAGGGGTGAATGTCAGTGTCATGCGGGTGCTGGGAACTGAACCCAGGTCCTCTGCAAGAGCAGCCAGTATTCTAGCTCTCTCTCCAGCCTTTGGCAGAATTTTTTAAAGAGAGGCTTACAACTAGCTCCGACTTTAAATACAATTTTGTCTAAATCTTGGAACCAAAACTTTAGCTTGTGTGGTTTATGCAATCTTTGTGTACCTGGTCAAATCAGTTTTTATTGCCAAAGATACAAAACTATATTATTTCCTGTTAAGACAAGATCTACCTACACTTATTATTCACATAAATGCTAATATGTATCTTAAGGAATATTAAGAGTAGTATTGAAAAATAAATTATGGAATAAATTTGTGTAGACAAGAAAAGTATAAAACAATATAAGTTTCACATGATTAACTATAGTTAAGTAACCAAAAGAAAGAACCAAACAATGTATGTTTCCCATAAACTGAGGAGTATTGGAGAAAACAATGCTGGCTGGGTGTGGTGTCATGCACCTTTTAATCTCTGTGAGTTCAAGGCCAGCCTGGTCTACAGCACGAGTTCCAGTCTATACAGGGCTGTGTAATGGGACCCTGTCTCAAAACAAACAAACAAACAGGTGAGAGTCCCTAGTTAAGTGTATAGAACACCATGCTAAACTTCTGAGAATAAATAACAAAGTCAGAGTTAGCCAGGCAAAGTGTCCAGTGCCTGGAATCCCAGCACTCAGGAGGCTGAGAAAGATGGCTGGTTTGAGGACCAGGCTGTCTGTCTGTCCATCTGTCTGTCTGTCTCTGTATCAGAAACAACTTCACTGATTTATAACACAAAAGAATTGACTACAGCAGAGTGAATATTTCAAACTTTGATTAGATAAAAAATAAGGTGAAAATACCTTGCTGAGCGATGAGCACAAAACCTGAAAGATATCAAACAGCATGCGATTCTTAAGAACCAGTTTTGTGTGGTAATCTTGAAAAGTACCATGGCCCAGAAAAGTCTAGTTCTATTTAAAGTCGGCAGCAGCAGCTTGTGCGGCTTCCTGCGTTCAGTCTCGTCTTCCTCTCCAGCTAATGACATTTCCCAGGGATTTTTTTTTTGGTGCAGTTGAAAAACAAATCTGCTTATCTTCAAATATGTAAGGGGGAAGAGCCATTTAAAGTACCCTGTATGTGCTGTTGTCTTCGCAGAAGCCCTCCTCCCCCTCAAGACTGATGGACATTTTATAGCCGTTAGAACACGAGGATCCATATGTCGTTCAGCCAGGCTGCCTCTGGTTTGAGAATCTGTAGCATTCCGGTTCTGCCTGTGGTACCCAGGCCCCAGCGCCGTCCTTTACTCTATAGAAACACCTGCCGCAGAGGATGAGTTCTGGCCAAGCGTGGAGGCTGAGAGACAAGCAGACTTCCTTGAAAGCTCTCTGACCAGGATTCTCCCAATGACTGCCTTTCCCTCCCTTTCATGTATTTCCTGTAATTCCATAACTAAAGGTTTCAGTTGATTCTTATTTTGTATTCTGGAAAAAAAGAAAAAATAATTTATGGGTGGTGGTATAAAATGTCCAGGAGCACATAGTATCTGGCGGTGATATCTCATGATAATATCACATGGGGGTGATTCCTGGAGATGGTGCCATGGGTGGTAACAGCTGATGGTGATATTTGGTGTCCTCTTTTTGAGCTGAGTTACAGTGCTGGTGCATGAATTTCACTGGGGACTTGCACATGGGAGAATATCCAGCCTGGAGAGATGGCTCAGTATTTATAGCACTGGCTGCTCTTCCAGGGCACCTGTGTTTAGTGCCCAGCACCCACATATGGCCTCACAACCATCTGTCACTCCAGTTCTAGGGGATCAATGCCCTCTGCTGGTCTCCTTAGGTGCCATACAGGCAGGCCAAACACCCATGCACATAAATGAACAAGAATGTTTAAAAAATAGCAATATCCCAAATTCCTACATCTTTCCCTTTAGCCTGTAAGAATATTTCTCTAGAGAGACGTTTCTCTTTACCAATTATCCAGATGTATCAATAATCTTTGTACACAAGTACCTGGGACTCTTTTAAAACACTAAGATAGATTTTAGACTTATTCTTCATTTCCTTTTATGTCACTCTCTTTTTTTTTTTTTGTTAAGTATCAGCCCAACTTAGAGAATTGATTTTATTAAGGGACTCTGAATAATATTAAATAATATCTGGCAAGTCTTAAGCCAGCAAATCTTTAAGAAAATTGTAAAATGCATACAATAATTTGACATGCGTGTCATTGTAGGATGTGGTACTTAGTCTCTTTGATGGTTAATGTTGTCATCTTGATAAAACCTAGCATCACCTGGGAAACAGGTTTCGGGGAATGCCTGAAGGGGATGACGCTGGTTGCATTGACTGAGGTGGGAAGGCTCACTCACTGTGGGCGGCCCCATTGCTACATGGCTGGCCACTTCCAGCCCCTGCCACCTTGACTGCCCTGCCATGGTGGACTGTGATCTCGGACTGTGGGGCAGAAGAGATTCTTTCTCCCCGGGGTTTTTGTCACCATAACAAAAAAGGACACCAAGCCCGTCCCTTACTCTAATCTCCACTTCTTGTTTTTATAGTCCAAAGAGCACCCGAAGATTGGGATACACCTACTCACTTAGTGATCCTATTCTGAATCAGACACTTTACAATGACGAATATTCTTGGAAAACATACGCGAAAGAAAAAATGATAAAAAATGGCACTTCAAGAGGAGTGAGGACCCATAAAGCGCATCTCGGTCAAGTAAGACACCAGCTACTCATCTGTTGGGTTTAACTGTCTTAAACCTGTAAGAGCCCTCCAAAGACTGTCCGTCTGTCTGCAGTGGTGAGCGCCATGCTTCTTTTTGGACTGCCTTTACAGTCTCACGTCCCCCCTATTTCTAGTCCCTAGAGTTCAGAGATCTTAAAAACTGAAATGCTATATTCGTGTAACATCAAATTAGCCACGACAATGGACAGTGAGTACATTCATGTCGCGGTGTGCCTACCATGGCTATCTTATAAAGCGTCGTCTTCATCCCAGAAGGAAACTCCATGCCCATTAAACAATCACTTTCGTTCCCTATTCCCTTACCCTGGCACCCTCCCATATGCCCCAAGAGGGACTTACCATTTTACGTGCATGTGTTTTGCCTTCATGTATGTGTACCACGTGCACGCCTGGTACCTGCAGGGGTCAGAAGAGGACACCACATGCTCTGGAAAGTGGAGTCACAGATGATTGTGAGCCTCCATGTATGGGTAGGGAATTAAACCGCAAGAGCAACAAGTGCCTCTAACTACTGAGACATCTTCCCATCCATTCTGAGCCCTATGCGTTACCTATTCCTGGATAATTTTTATGAGCGATCATGTAGC